AATATAACTTTCATATATATAGAATGCTCTCATTAAGGCGTCAGCCTGCCTAAGCTTTGGCATAGCCTTTTTGAAAGCAAGAAGCAGAATATGCTTGTCTACCGCTGGGTCGCGGGAGATGTCAATCAAGCATTTTAAAGTGGAGGCGAAAATTTCGTCCGAGTCGGCACTCTCTGCTGAAGTGACTGCTGGGGTTACAGCTTTAGTTTTTGCAGTAACCGGCAGTATTGAATGTCTGGAATCACATCCTGGCTCTATGGTAACATTCCCTATTGCCGCTGCATAACTCAACGGGTTAACAGCACTGGGGCGAGCATGTGCGGGACGTCTTGGTGGTTCGGTGTTTGCCGTGGTGGTTGTAGTGCCCTGAGATGGAGCTTCCGAGGCAGCGGCCCTATTCCTAGGCTTGGATTTGTTACTATGAGTCCGTTGATTGCCTGGGAAACGAGGACAAGATCTAAAATTGGCCGGGTGATCTCCTCCGCAGTTGCAGCAAGTAGCAGAAATATCCATGGGTCTGGTACACACAGAAGCCCAGTGTCGCCCAGAGCATCTCACAAAACGGATTTGTAAGGTGCAGACTTCCGAGGAGTGGAAGACACCCTGACACCGAAAGGATTGAGTAGGGCCCTTGCGGCCGCGATAACGCTGAATGCTGACCTCTGTGCCCCACATGTCATGAACAGCAAACAGATGGTCGATGAAGGGGTGTGGAAGTACTTGTAAATAAACAAGTGGCATTGGATGTTTGGAACGTGGCTGAGTAAGCCGAACGCACCGATGCACTTTAAAGCCCATCTCCTCGACTTCATCTTTCACGTCCTCGATTTCGGTTTCAACCGGAAGGCCTCTAATAACAATTTGTCCTGCTGCAGGTCTAAAGTCTTATACTGGATGCCAGCCTTTTTCATCCAGCGGGTAACCTCCCGGAACTCAAGTTCGGTTTGAACGAACAATTTTAGATAAGGTCCAGTGAGCTTGCTCTGAATATTGGGGGCAATCTCACGCAAAAAATTTAATTGCGTCTTCCACTGCTTTCTCGATTTAACGTGAATCGCCGGAATAGAAGGTTGCTGCGGAGGGGAGGTGGGAACGCTCCTCACATGCTCGCTAGAACTTGTTTCTCCGCTTTCTACCTCCTGGCTGCCAGGAGTGGTAGAAACAGGGGGTAGTACGCTCTTATTGACTTTAACATTAGAATTCACATTAGATTCAATACCTACAGTTTCAGCATCAGAATAGCCACTTTCAGAATTTACGACGGGTTTAACTTGCTTACGAGAAGCGGGGATAATGAATCCGTCCTCATCAATACTTTGCCCTTTACGCTTACGCGCTAATTTGGGCTTGCCTACGCTAATAGCTTTATTTAATTTCTCCTTACGGAGAGCTTCTTTCTCTTTAGCTTCGTTGATTTTATCTAGCTTCTTCTGCTCGATCATTTTCATCCCTGGTCAGGGGAAGGTGGAAATTTTGTAGGTCAAGGCTATTAGCAATTTCATTAATTTTGAAAAATAATGTTTTACCCGATTGGTCAAGTTGCTTATATCCATTAGAGTCCAGCGGCGTTGAAGATCGCTTCATGAATCTCTTTTGCCGTTGAATTTCTTCATATTGCTGCTTCAGCTCGTAGAAGTCCCAATTAGCTTTGTTTTATTATCCAGTTGCACTGGTGAAGTCTCCGCACAAGTATCCACACTGTACATTCACATCACTCTCAATACTCGATATATCCATGATATTATTCTCATTATTATCGCTAAAATCCCCAGAAATCGGCTGCGTTGGCGGGAGCGCGTCAGACCAACACCTCCTAGAATTAACTCAGTTGTAGGAGGTGTTGGTCAGACGCACGTCCTACCTCCTCGGAATCCCCCAAAAGAAATCCTAGTCCGTTTCAAGAAACAAACATTCGTGGTTACAAATAGGATATTATATTATTAGCAAAAATTTGATTGGCCATCAAGATTGTATTCGTTTGCCGTCGTGAAAAAACAAATGTGTGACGCGGTTTTCATATCGAGGCAGGTTGACGCGTTGCAGTCTTTCAGCCTTGTGACATCAATGGTGCACAATGGGAAACGCACAAAGAGAGAGAGTAAAGGTGAAATAACAAGTTTGATAAGACGAAGGGTAACGCTCTTTTCTCCCATGCAAGAAATGGCGGGTTCGAATACCGCTCCTGTAGTTACTTTTAAAAATAGTAAAATTATATAAAAGTCATTCATTAAATTACTATACTAAAATAACATATTTAAAATAATAATGGATTAAATAATTAATGACGTACTAAATAATTAAAAATAATTGTTACTAATTAAAAAGATAAAATAATTAAAGTTAATGACGTACATAATAATGAATATTAATCACGTGTTAAATAATTAAAAATAATTAAAAAACTGATACCATTCCAAACACGTGGCTCAAGAGCTCGTTGCCATAAACATAAAAATTGTTCGTTGCTACAAAAAATAAAAACTTTGAAAAATAGTGTCGTTGCCACATAATAACAACGAAACTTTGATGACATCATTCCGGCTACGTCATCCCATGCATCTACGTCATTTCCGGTTGTCACGTGATCTAAGACGGCAGAGACCACGCCCTTTTTCTGTGATGTCACTTTCGCTGCGCGGTTATGGGCCCTTACTACTAACTCATGTTCACTACATCTTGCTAGTAATAATGCATTGATAATCATCTATCCTTATAATGTTGCCAACACACAAGTATGAAATCACATTTGAATATACTATTGAGCTATTATTTGAATTGATTATAATTGAGCTATATTTTGAGTTATAAATTTACATTTTGGCAGGGAAATGAAACTTAGGCTGATAGGATAGCTATTTAACATAAAATAACTGGTTATAAACTTAAATGAGGCTTTATAACGTGTTAGACTAAATTTACTTTGATACATACAAAAACGCGTAAACACATACTACTTTCATGCATTTTATCAGTACTTATATTTAGACACTGAGAATACACCTTATAGATAAAGTCTGGCACTTAGGTTTAGACATTGAGAAGTCTATTTGACACTGTTCCATACATTCTTATGTTACATCGATATTTAAACATTTTACATTGATTTTACGCAGAAACGCACACTAATTCTATCCTGGTGCTCATATATAACAAAAACTGCACTGTGAATTTTTGTGTACGTCGGTTTAGACACTAAGGATACGCTTTTTTTGGTACACAGTAACGTATACATACACATTTTACACATATTTAAACATTTTATACCGTTTTTACACTAATATATATACAAATTCTATGCTGATGTGCCTATTTAAGCATAAAGTGTAAAGACATTAGCTATTTTTGGGGAAGAAGGAAAGATGAAAAATTAACGCCTTCGCCGGGAGTCGAACCAGGACCTCTGGAATACCGGCCGCCCAGCGAGCAGAACGACTACACCACGAAGGAACGCCAAGAAGGTGGGAGAAATACCTTATATACTCCCCCTTTTAAAGGGCGACTGGGTTTTAGGGAACCCAATCGCCAAATCCTGGGTGATGAGAATCATCACCCTTGGAAGCAGGCAAGATGAGAAATGAGCAAACGCCTTCGCCGGGAATCGAATCACGGACCTCTAGAATACCATCCCAGTGTGCTGGCCATTACACCACGAAGGCACGCCAAGAAGGTGGAAGAAATACCTTATAAAATAACCTAGGTGCGTTTCATACGCTCGCATAGCTTTAGACTGTGAAACCATAATGATGTCTGAAGTGCCTTGAATATAGGGAAATACTAAACACTTCTCTGACTCTGATAAGATTAGTATTTATTTACATTTTTTGCATATGAAGTTTCACAAACAAAAAATCAGTCACTGGGACTTTTTTTTGGCTTAATATTGCCACTCTGACTAAAAATCGCACACAAAGAGTTTCACAGATGGCGCTTCAGTATTGCAAATGATGTCGCCACACACCCACCTCCATTCCCAGTGATAGCATTATATTTCGTAATCTTTCCGATATGCAGGAAATCTCACTTTTCGTCCAGCTTTTGTATTTCTAGGATGAATGTCTTTAGTATAAAATAATGAAGGTGTACTTTTAACATTTTAAACTACTTATTTATAATCGTACAACATATATATTACTGAGAACTGCAATGCCAGCATAGTTATATTTTTATATGCATCCAAAGTGTTGCCAATTACAAATGAATTTAAAAAAGTTACTAAAAGTTAAATTTTGCAATTTACAAATTACTAAATGTTAAATGATATATTTGGAAGGATCATTGTTCCTAGGAAGTGGTTAGGAGATTTTGGTGTCATCAGCACGACGTGTCTGAAGATTTCTTATTTCATTTTTGAGATTGAAACATGGTTTCATACCGTCTGCCGATATTCTTTTAGTTTTATAATTTTACCAGAACCATCCGTAAATTTCAAATTTAGTTCACGTCTATGAGAGTTCGAATATTCGATGGATGTCCACGGGTTCATTATGAAAACACACATGTACGGAGAAATTCTTAAAGAAGGAATAAGATGACAGAAAGAATGAGCACGTAAAATGAAATCAGAACAAGCAACCGAAAAAAAAAAAAAAAACATTAACACAGAAAGACATTAATACATCAAACAGTTAGATATGTGGCATGGCATCTACATTAAAAATATTCTTCAACGCTATGTATATCAAAAATTTGTAATTCATTTTAGTTTGCAATATTTTTTTTTTTTTTTTCATTTTTATGAGGCTGTTAAAAATGTATATATATGTACACAAAAATAAATGTGTCTACTACTACTTTGGTATTCTAATCTTTTCTGAGTTTTCGTTACGTTACGTTAAGTTACGTTAGTTCACTCCCTAAAAATAATTTGTTTGCAGCATTTACTATCAGTCAGTACAAATACTAACAGCAATGATTTTTTCATTATTTATTTTCATCCTCATGTTTGCGTCCTATTCTAAACAGCGTGCGATCTGAAATGAACTGAAAGGGTTCTTCAACATTTACTTTGCGTTCTTTCGGTAGACAAAATGGCCGTTGAATGAGATGTGAAGTTGTATTATAGTAATATAGTCTACGGAGTTTCTTGTACTACCGATTAGATGTTATAAGACGTGCATGTTGTTTGTAAATTACAGTCGTTAACAATGACGGCGAATATGTATAGAGTGGGAGGTAAGGTGTACATTTAAGTTGTCGGCACTTTATAGAGCTTTTGAACGTACAAAAATTATTTATGATATATTGTATTTACAGTTTTATGCAGTTATACTTTAATAAAACAAATTATCGGTATGGTTTTTGATGAATTAATGATGCATCATGTATATATAAAGTTTTCTCTGTTGGGTTTCCGAAGAAGACACATTTTTCCCCTCCTTAAACTATATATATAAGGGCTTTGATTATTATATTATTGCTGTTATTGTGAATTTCATTATGAATCAGCTTGTGTAAGTAATATTTTAATTTTTATGCATAATCTGTGTGAAGAAACGCATTAAGTGAAGTAACACTAAGGAAAAAATTCTCTTAATTTGTGTTGTGTTTTTCCCGATATCGAGATGCAAATGACTTTTATTTCTATTGATTTGAGATGGGGTGCTGTATATTGTCAGCTTATGAAAAGATTTGGAAACATCTATTTTCGTGATCAACAAAATGCGGGAATAATTAAAAAATTTCCTAGTTATATGTGATATGGATTAGTTTTTAGGAGTAGCATTTTGGGTTTTTTTTGGGGGGGGGCAAAGCATATCTAATGTTGCAGTACACAGTCGTATGTAACCCTCACTTTTTCTAAAATGGATAATCGAGTTGACCACTGTTAGTACTTCTGAACTAGGTCTAATAATTTTAATAAATTTTTAGCTTTCTAGTTCATTTAAAATCTCATTTCATTTTTTTCCTTCTGAGTAATAACAGTAAAATAACATAAAAGAATTAATCATATGAATTTATACCTCACCTTGAGTGCTGTGGGAATCAGTTATAGTTACATAGCGTTCAAATGTTATTGATTATGGCATGCTTTCCTTTTAACATTCAGTCCATCAAAAACAGTAGATTTAAAGAATTAAATTTGGTTGAATATTACTTTTATATATTAATTTCATTAATGGGGAATAAAATGATCTTTCGCATCTTTTATGAAATCTTGAGTTGTTACTAAAAACACCAACTAAAATTATAAGTCTAGTAAACATCCATTTTTAGATATAGAAAATGTGCATCTGAGGTGAAAAGTCCTCAGAAATGAATTATCTTGGGCAAAGATAGATGATAATGAAATTCCAGGAGGAAACTTCGGTGAAATATTTGTTCATTTATTTTTAGTTCTTAACAGAGTTTTGTTAAATGAATAACTTTGAAAAATTTAGCAATGTTGAATTATTTTGTTTTGCATTTTCCAAATCTTGTTGAGGAAAGTAGTTATGAAAATCTTAATAAACAATGGCATTTTTTGAGAAACTTAAAAATTGTTGGAAAATGAGGGGAAAACAAAAATCATAGTTTTCATAGGATATAGTTTTTGAAATGAAAAGGGTAAAAAATTGTTTACAGTTACCCCTTAGCAAAAATTGGTGGTACATGGATACCAAGTTTGTGCAATTCTTTGACTTGTTATTTTGGCTTGTGCAGCTGTTACACAAAGCCAAAATAACAAAACAAAGAATTGCACAAACTCTGTATCCGTGTGCACATTGACCTATTTTCACTTGAAAAAACATCGGAAAATTGCACAAACTTAGCGTTGCACACTCCTTTGACTTTATCCAGGTACACATCGACCTATTTTCACGTAAAAAAATCAGAGAATTCTATGAACTAGGCACTGCGCACTCTCGACTTTGGCCATGTACACATCAAACTATATTCACTTAAAAAGTCGAAGGAGCAGCCAACAAAAAAATATATAATCTCAATAAACTACATTTTAAATCAAACACTGAAATAAACATAAAAAAAAAAAAAAAAATCATCTTTGCACTAACTACACATAGGAAATATCCACTTACTTATTTATGAATTAACATGTCTTCAGTCAAACAAAATTCCTTAACAGCATCCAAAAACTTCCTAAAATTATCTGAACTAGAAAATGTATACTGGTGTCGTCACACAAATTCACAAAATAAGACTAAAAAATATCCTCTAGCGCATTCCAATGTTCGACCATACGCATTTCCTTCCTACAAACAGGACACTTAATAATGGCTACTAAGTAAACCTTTATTTACACAGCAGTCAAGTAGTGCTCTTTTTTTCCAAATCGTACAGAAACTTCAAATTAATCTTACCACATTCAACCATTTTACCATCTAAACCACAAAACAAGCAATATACTTCCTAACCAACATACACACAAGCATTAACGAATTTACCGCCATCATGCAACCGATTACATCATAATAGGGAGTCCATAACATTCAACTACTTAGGCTACCATAAATAAAACAACTTCACAATAATACAAGGGGTACCCATCTCTCTATTGTAACCATGAAAAGTGCTGTAGGTGAAGAAATGTTTCTTAATTTAATATTGCTAGTTGAAACTTCTATGCTTTCCTTACTCATCATCAGCTACTGAAAAAGTATTCCCAATGAAAAAGAATAAAATAAGGAATAACTATGAGCTTCCTTAAAGAATGACTCTCCTTGATAAGCAAATAATAAAAGCATTTTGCAGAAATTAATTTTATTATTCTTTAGGAATTTATTTAGCAAAATGCTAGTACAGTACAAAGTCCGTAATCCAGACTCGTTGGGATTTCGGCGATTCTGGATTAGGGGTTTTTCCAGATTCTAGATCATCAATTTAAATCTGGTTAAGATGGCATGTACAAATTATACAATTAAAAATATGAAATTGTAATTTATGAAATAAAGAACAATTATGATCTAAAGGGTATCAAAATTTACAAAAAAAAGCTTAATATTTATTTTTTTACTTTATTAAACATTTCTTTCAATGTAAGTTGTTTAAGATGCTTCCACAAAAAATTCAAAAATTTCCTTTCTCTTGTGTCATATATGGTGGATTTTCCAATGCCATACTTCTCACATAATTTTGAGACGGATAGGCCTAATAGACATTGAAACATGCTTTTGCTTTGTAGATCCTTTGGCAGCTCCAGAATTGGAAACTCTTTTTTACATAATTGAAAGATCAAGCTTAATTTTTATAAACTTGTTCTAAAAGTCGGCAAAAAAATAATAAGCCGGTAGAGGATTAAGGAATAGTGCAATCTGCAACATTAACTGAAATGCCCTAAATAAAACGTGCATGTGTAAATGCATTTTGCTTTTACGCATGTGCATAAAGTTTGTAGCTTTGAGGTCCTGATTATGGACATCCAGATTATAGACTTTGTACTATAATGAGTAAATATTCCCAGTATTTTTCCTTGATTGCAAGATATACTTAATGGCATATTACATAAATGAAATATTTATATTTAAATTGCTTTGGAAATAAACCGAAATAACTATAAATAAAAATTTAAAAAAAAATTAAACAAGTAAAAGCAACAGCATTCATAGATGATTACAGTGATTGAGGGGGGGGTTCAGATTTTTTTCCCTTTTTATGTTTGTCAGACACATGTTTATCTATATAAATCCAAAAGTTACTGGCATGATGTATTTTTAAATGAAATATGGAGAATTTTATTAGTTTATTTTTTATAATAATTCCTTTGTACTTAATACACATTTCACATTGTTTAATCAGTAACTTTATGCCTCTCATTTCGTAGTCATTGTGATCAATCGGTCAATTACTATTTATAAATGGTATCATAATCAACTGGCAAATGCAGGTTCGGTTATAATTTTTATTAAGAAGTAAGAAAAATTTCGTTACCTTTTCTTGTATGCTGGAACTGTTGAATAACTTGTGGTGGTGTCTTAGCTGCAATAAAAAATCTTGTTTTAAACAAAACACAGTTTTATTTTGTTGGTACTTTATATCTTGAAGTACACATCACATAAGAACATTGAAAGAAAAACAAATATATAGCTATTACAAATATTTAGCAAGCACACTCTTTCTTATTTGTGGCTGTAAAAAAAATAGATGGGTCCAATGGCCTAAATTTTTTATGTGCTTGTACCAAAACAAAGCAGAAATTTAACAACTGTCAAGTATGCCAATAACAAAGTTAAATTTCTGTCACTATCAGAATGCGTGGCAACATCTAATGAAGGAAAAAAATACTTTAAAATGATTTCATAATATACTATCAACTCACCCAAACGGTACAGTGGTTAGGGGAGCCTACTAAAGGTAAAGGGCTCGGGTTCGAATCCGGAGAAGACATGGGGCATGGCGGCACTCTAAATACGTGGTGAGCTAAAAGTCCTCTTGTTTGGATTGGTGGAAGGGGAGAGCCCCGGATCCCCCCTCAGTGCTCTTCCTCAAAATTGGGAGTAGAAAATAGATGTCCACCCTCTCTTCGGAGTAAGCTCTGGCAACCATTGTTCCATGTAATATGGACAAGACAGCAACAACAATATACTTCCACCGTTAAGTTTTAGTGGTAACCAGAAATAAACATAAAATTCAGTTTACACTATTAACCTTTTAACTGTCATACCCGAGATATCTCGGGCACAGCACTGGTGTTTGAAAATGTCACGCCCGAGTATTACTCGGGGTAATTTTTTTTTTGAGTGTATCGTATTGTTATACCCGAATATATCGGGAGACGTTTATTTCGGCTTCATCTCTTTGTCAAACCCGACTGTATCTCGGGAAAAGTTAATGTGCGCTCAGTTCAATAGATGACAGCACTTTACTGAAGATTTCAAAGGTTAGAGGATGTTGATTGGATTTTTGCAATAAAAAAAATGACAATTTGTGTACCCAAATCATCAAAATAACTTGACAGTTAAAGGGTTAAGGGAAAAAATGGTAGGTGCTACTCCATTTCCGGGCACTATAAAAAATTTGCCAAACAATTATTCATGCCTAATTAATTGTGGCAAACCTAATAAAATTCATAAGTTTAATTTCACAGGTTCATTTAGTGAGTCACACAATTTGCGGATTCATTTAACACACTTTGTTAGGAGAAAAACTCTGGGTACGGTACAAGTATAATCAAACTGAAAGTAATTTTCATTTGCTGCACACTATCCTAAGCTGAAAAGGAATTTCTGTCTCAACAG